TGCTGGCGGGAAGGTGTCTCCTCCGGGGAAGGGCCTGTGCCTGCCTCTGGCTGAGAGCTGCAGCGCGGGGCCCTGGAGCGCGGGCCCCTGGAGCGCGGCCAGGAGCATCTTGCCCACGGGAGCGGGAGGCCGGCTCTGGAGCAGCCCTGCGCGGCGGGGAGGGCTGTAGGAGCTGGGATGAGCCACCCCTGCGGATGCCGTTGGTCTGACACAGCGGGTTTGTTACACTCGACAGGCTAAATGGGCTAATTCATTCTCTCGGTGTCAGGCTGTCACCTGCATCCCAAGCTGCAGTGCAGTGTCTTTGGTGTCCGCACTGCACGAAGGAACTCAGCAATAATTGACTCCATGAATATGAACTTCCAGTATTTGTCTGTGATCAGAGACCACTTTTAAAAAACAACCTTAATGTGTTGGTCACTGGTACAAATTCAGTATGATCTAGTGGTTGCTTCATGTATGCGTGTCTTTAGTAGGCTAAGTTTTTATCATGCTGCTCCCATCCAGTATAATCACATACTGTATTATCCTGACAGGTCTGTAAACACCACCCATGAAGTCATCAATGTCACCCTCCACACTACGCTGGCTGCTACAACCAAATTGGTGGTACCTACACCTGCTAAACCTATCCTTCCAGTTCAGACTGGAGTCCAAGCACAGCAAGAGGAGCAATCTAGTGGCATGACAATTTTTTTTAGTCTTCTTGTATTAGGTGAATGATGAACTGAAAGTCTTTTAATCTCTGTTAATCATACTCTGTATTTGAAGACATAGGCCAGCTTTCAAAATCATAGCATTTTATTTCTCCTCTGGTTTTCTCTCTATGAAGTGGAATATTGGAAAGGCACAGGCATTTAGAAAGCTGGGTAGATAAGTGCCTGAACCTCCCAAACATGCGGAAGGCTGAGGACCATTGCAGACCTTTTCACCATGGTCGCAAAGTGCAAATACCATGTTTAATTGTCTTCGCCTTATTTATCAAGAATATGGCATGTGTTCATCTATGAAAAACACACTGTCAGAATACTCCATGGTGCTTGCAGCTGTCTTTGAGGACAGTGTACTAGACAGATGTCAATTTAACTACTTCTAGCACTTCTGGACAGCCCTCAGATATTTTGTTATATAAGCCAATGGAAGACTTACATGCACAAGTATACTCAAGTACAGTATCTCTTTTTCTGGCTCTCCTTACTTTCATACATTCCTACAAGAGTGTGATAATAACGTGCAGATTGACAGAATTATATTAACGTTGTATATACTTAGGCATTTTGATTGGCAGATGCATACCCAGCTTTTCTATAAGTCTGGGCTGTTACCTTTAATAGAATATAGCTATCTCTCACCAGCTGCTTAGAGCAGTGCTGTAGTCAAAACTGTAACTATAACAAAACTTTCATGGAGGGTTAAAGGTTTGTCTGTTTTCCTTTGTGTGTTTGTGTGCATGGTTTCTCCAAAGCAAGTTACACTGAGAGACTTTTCTGTGACAGATGGGTCACGTAGTCTTTTAAGTGGTTATTCTTTCCGGTAGCAAATGGAAAAAATAATAGGTATGGACTTGACAGCAGTGCAGAAACTTCTGCAAATCATTTGGGTTTAAAAAAAAAGAAAAATTTTGTTTCCTATAAATAACTATTATTAAGTGCAGCAAAAAGTAGAAGGCTTCTGCTTATTTCTAAAGTAGCTATTTGTGTTCCAGAGGGGGTTAATGTTTTCCCAGAGGTCAATGGTATATTAAAATTTGGACAGAAATGAAAGACCAAAGCAAAATTCAGTAGATCAGAAGACTTCTAGAATTAAAATTTCTGAATATGCATGTTAAAAGGGCCATTCATGGTAAAATTGTATTCCTGGGACTTAAGAACAGAGCTATGGTTTTTTTGGCTGTGTTCCAGCCTATTTATGACAGTCTCATAACTTAATGGATCTTAAAAGCATTACCCTCAGGACAGGGGAGTTCCCTGAACAAAGTAAAGGCAGTGTAAAAAGCTTATTGTTCATAGTTATTCCCATTCATAATCTCTGATTTAAGGGTGTAGGAAGGGTGAAAATGAATGTGTCTACAATACTCTTAAATGTGGGTGTCATGAGCTGTAAAATGGCCTTTAAAATGTTCTAAACTGGAATAGACCCAGAAGCAGATCTGTTCTGACCTGTGTTGTGTCAAAGCCAAGCCCCAAATTTGAAGTGCCTGAAGTAGCATGAGTTAGTCTCTGACCCCAGATTTCTATGGCTTCTTTATCTGTTCAAACACCACTTCAGTTTCACAGTCATGCCTCTTATTCTGCCACGTTCATGTGATCCATGAATTCCCTTTTGTTATGTTGTATGCTTTTACTGTGCTCTTCCTTAAGGGGACACTCAAATGTTCTTTCAGCTTGTCTAGAACACTGCTTTTTCCAGCCTCTTGCCTGATTGTTATACTCCTGATATGTGCAGGTGCCTGCAGCAGGTGACATGCTGCCAGATACAAACTGATCAGTCTTACACCAGGAGTGGGTGACCCAACAGCTAAAGAATATACCAGGCTGCCATTAATATTTATGGTGGTGGGAATCACTTAGGCTACAGTTGCTTTTTGTTTTATTGCCAAAGCAAAGTAGTCAAAAGCTGGTAGAAAGGAGCTGGCGATTAGATCAGCTAAATAGAAAGCATTTTTATGCTTGCATTGGAGTTTGCTGGAAATCCACAGTGTCCAGATGCCTTTATGGATCTATCCCAAAGAGCAGTATAGAATGCTTTTAACATGGTAATCCTAGATGTCTTTACAGGATGCATTTTTTTCAGGTTTAACAGGCAGGAAATTGGTACGAAACTCAGTAATACTGACTGACAGACGAATAAAATCTTTGCCTGGGATACATGATGAAGCTGTTGCTCCTGTAGTCTGTTTGGCAGTTGGCAGCCAAATGTCTTAGTTGCTTTTTAGTCAGCTTCTGAACTGCTGCAATTTCTAGTATAGCATTTTAAAGTAAACACCAGTATGAGTCTGCATTCAAGTATTGTACTGTAAACTCAGGTATTTGGAGAACTGACTGATCGATATCATAAAGATTGATGGAGTGGAAGTGAGGAAGGGAGCCCTCCTGGCTGGAGCCCTAACCTCATGAATGAAGCCATCCCAGCTTGTCACTCTGAACCCACAGCTTTGGCCCTGAACAAATTACATGCCAGTAACGGAGGAAATATTACTATGTTTTTCATGAGTCCTTGCTCAGTTCGTAAGCCCATCCATCTATTCATGTGCACATCAATGAAATGCTCACCATGTTGTGTATGATCTGGGTGTATGAGATAACAAGTGGGAGAGTGCAGGTATCAGTGTGATACCCATTCCTTAGCACCATACTGGAGAGTAGGATGATGAAAAGTGATATTTATATTTATGAGGTTTGTACTTCTTTTTTGTGACACTGTATAGTAAATATAGATCATGTTATAGACCCCAGTTGTTCACAGGTGGTGTGATCCAGCAAACCATGCCAGTTCGCAGAACTACTTGGGGACCATTTTGCACCTTTTCAGGCAAAATGAAAGTGCTCTTCCAAACCATCTGCAAGTGGCTGTTTAGTTTTTAATTAACTAGATGGAGGTGTTAAACCAAATCACTAAGAGCATTTCTGAGAAGCTAATTCATTCCCGAGTTCAAAATGTGTGCTGTCGTAGTGTGGCCTGGCACCGTGCTGCCCACACTGAAATGGGGTGAGTCACAGACACGTACAAGGCGCGGAGTAAGGAGAATGAAGATTCCCATTGTAGTTATGACTAGGTGGTGTCAAATACACAGTTTAAAATAGTCTCTGATGCAATTAACAGGCCACAATTTGATTCCAGTATATAAAAGTTACTGACTTTGCTTGAGCTTCAAGTTGCTTTCTGACAAAGTGCGAGCAGTAATACTGCTTATATCCCAGGCCACTGCAGGATGATCTGTTAGCAAATAGAGCAAAATACACATATTACAGACATGCAGGCCAGATGTTGTTTCTTTGTTTGACCCCTTGTTGAGCTAAATTCAAATGGGAGAATTGTAGTACTTTCAACATGAGGAATATTCAGATCAAAATTGTTAGGCATTTAATAATCCAGCATTATTTGATTCTTATAGATGAGTCTGCAGTAGTTCTCAAAGAATCAAGTGGTTTCTTCCAACCATATCCACGGATGGTACCCAGATGTGCTGTAGATCCTTTGTAATTTGCCTTTGCCATTGGCGTAGAGGTTGTGATGGGATTTTCATATTACTGTAACCTTCATTTTTGTTGTGAGACATAGACTTTCTCCCTACTGGGTGAAATACATTACTACAGTACAAATCTGTTTTGTGTTTTTCTGCACCGGTCCTTTCCCCTTGCTGGTTTAACTTTTAGCAATGCTCAGCAGTAAATGTCTCTTGCTGATTTGGATAAGAATTTGGCTGGTGCTTGTTGTAAGAACCAGGATCTTTAAACGGTTACCGACTCTGCAACCTCATAGCCCCAGTGAAGGGGAGTTACGGAGGTATGGTGCCAGGCTCTGCTGAGGTGCACAAAAGAACAAGAAGCACCAGTCACAAGCTGCAACAAGGGAAATGTGGACTGGAGGGAAGAAGAAAATTTTTCACTATGAGACTTATGCACTGGAAGTGGGGTTGAGAGAGGTTGTGACTTCTTCATCTTCAGAGATTTTCAAACTTGAGTGGACAAGGCCCTGGGCGACCTTCTTTGACTTTGAAGTTAGCCCTGCTTTGAGCAGGAAATTGGACTAGATGACTGAGAGAGAGCCCTTCCCATGTAAATTTTTCTGATTCTGTGATTATCCATTTGGGTAAAGCCCATCTGCTCAGAGGGACTCAGGTGGGAAAGTATGTAGCTTTGAAGTTTTAACTGAGGCCATGTGTACATGTATGTTTTATTTCAAAAATACAAAATGTTTACCAAAAACATTATTAGAACAGTGTATTCTGTATAACTGACATTTTTTACAGCTACTGCTCAGAGAAGGTTTTCTTGTAAGCTGATTCAGGCTCTAAAAGTAGTAATGCTGGTATTTTTAGAAGATAATTTTAAGTCCTAAAATTTGCTTTAGTTATTTTCTGTCATTTGTAGATCCATTTACATTCAATGAGAATGAACTAAAATTTGGTTACTTGCGTTAGTGGATTTCTACTAAATCATGAGAAGTTCTGCTGCGTGTATTTTAGAAATACAACTTAAAAGTATATTTTATTCTCTTCTAACACTTGTAAATCTACAATTTTTTTCCTTCGCAGCTATCTGCATCATATTGGTGCATTTACTGATAAAATACAGACTTCATTTTTTACCAGAGAGTGTGGCTGTTGTTTCTTTAGGTGAGTAATCTTGACATTTTTATGTTGACTTTGTGTTAATTCAGAGACTCTCAATAGTCTGTACTTGAAATAATGCTCTGTTTTGTGTTCACCACCACTAGAGAGGTGCAGCAAACTGGATGCAGTGAGGAAAACAACCAATTCATAGACTTAAATTCATAGACGAAATCAAGAAATGAGCATGTGTGCAGAGACTGGCTGAGTAAAATGACACATATAGGCACTACAGGGCTGTCACTACCTAAGTATTTTGGCAGCTTCTTCTATTTTTGCACCTGTACTGTAGGACAAGATACTGCAGCACTCCCTGGCAGCGAGACTCCGGTCTTCCCTTTGAAGTGGTACTGGTGTTCGTATTAGTTTCAGTAGAATTACGTCTGTATATGTGATTTTAATCTGGTTGGGGACTCTAATTATATCCTGAAAACTTGTCTGGACTGCCAGATACTTAACTATCCCTGTAGTACCATGACAAGAGC